GACTATCAAATTCAAATTCAAAATAGTTGACTATCACTAACATTAATGAGTCATCTTTTGGTTTATCTAAATATAGTTTATAATTCCTTTTTTTAATATTTTGACTTAAAAAAACAATTACACTATTGTTTTCAATATTTGATGTTATTTGCACTTATAAAATTAATCATTTAACCCGCTTTTCTTTTGTTTCAAAAGTATAAAAAGTAAAATAAATCGATTTTTATATAAAAAAAATCGGTTTTTCTTGTTTTTCAATATGGCGTACCTTTCTGATCGATTTAAGAATTTGAGGGGTTATTCTTTATTAAAAAGGGCATAAAAAAAAGTTTATTTCAAAATTGTTCTAGAACATTATCATAAAGAAAAAAAATAATTTCGGTAAAAAATGCCTGTTTTTAATGGTTATTATAAAGATTATGAGCTGTTATTTTTTCCGAGTATAGCCCTTATATACCTTCATAACGTGTATAAATTTCAATTAAATCGATTGAGCCGTTTTCGAGAAAAAAATTATTTTCTGATTTTTCGTTTTTTTGAATTTACTCAAAAACCAAAATAGACAGAGGTCTAAAATTTTCAAAATTAACGTACCTCATTAGTATCAATGTCCCCTAAAAAAATTATCCAGATATTCCTCTGGGGCCGATTCACTATGCTTATCGTCCTATGGCCTTTATCGTGAATTTCGACTCCTAAACTACGCAATTTTGCTTTTGTTTCGAAACAGTAATCGTTTAAGTTTTGACCATACTGAGAACAATAGTTAGCTGCTTCTATTAGTAATTGCCCAAAGCGCACAGTATTAGGAAATGTATCTAAAAGTAATTTTTTCATACTGTGTGAAATGTGTATTATCTCCCACGTTTAAAATTATTTCAATTTTCTCTTTCAAATTCAAAGTCGCCGGAATTATTGCTTATATAATGAAGAGCTGATTAGTGTCGTAAAAAGATTTATTATAATAAACCCTACACCGACGTTTCGCCTCTAGTTTGAGTTTTTAAAATCGTAACATTAGTATATTGCAAACCGTCGAGGTCGTCTGAAATATAGACGTGGAAGTTACAGCCGTTAACATGGTATATAGAAGGTTATTACGCCTACAATATGATAATAAAAGAACAACATCCATAATCCACCCTCGTGTGCAACCATCAACAACAACACATCACATTTAACAATGCGGGGGGTTCCAACTGACGTTGGAAATTTTGAATATTCCTTTAGCGTCAGTAGAATGACGAAGTCGGTAGATCGTTTCGTTAAAAATTACATATATTATGGTATGAATTTACTAAGTTGGGTTGTTAAGCGCATTACAACACTCGAAAGCAATTGTTTAATTTGAAACACATAAAAGATATTGAATGCCCACAACGATTTACTAGTTATTTAATAAATTAGTAGCAAATAAACTTAAACTTTATCTATCGTCTCTACCGTTGCAAATAAGCAACCCGTTTTTTCCATCAGCTTCAGCTCCGTAAATAGACTAGATGCCCGATTTTCTTGATAATAGTCATACGCTTTAGTGATATCATACATATGACAGTATAGTTAAATTAATAAATACTGATTTTTATGCATGCATTGGAACTAATTTACTAAAGTTTTCTATCCTATCTCATAGTTTAACAAAATCTCACATAAAATTTTCAGTCAAACCGAATACAAGAACATTGGCGTTGTCATTATCTAGTATATATATAGAATATATGACTAATCGTAAGAGAAGTCGAATAATATTATGAAACTTGTTGAATTATGTTTATGGGGCCATAAAAATCTGTGTGGATCTTATGGATAGCACCTTGTTATTTTTATTATTTTATCTTAAGGGAAACGAACTTAAGTGGTGAGAAAGTCAACAAAACTTAATCTTCTGATTTAAATCACAATTTCTGTCTTTCGTTTAACTATGTTCATCATCGAATTTTTGTAAGAGCGAAATTTATTATAATTTTTTTATTTATCGATAGTACTACATTAAATTTGTCATATTGCAATTTTTAATGATTTTTTTTAAATTCAGGTATGTTGGATCATGTGATATCAAAATTGCCGAAAGAAAGGCAAATATTACTATTTTCTGCCACATTTCCATTAACTGTGAAGCAATTCATGGAAAAACACCTAAGAAATCCATACGAAATAAATCTAATGGAAGAATTAACTCTTAAAGGAGTAACACAATATTACGCATTCGTGCAAGAAAGGCAGAAAGTTCATTGTCTCAATACACTTTTTTCCAAGGTAAGTGTTATTCAATGTGAAGATTTATTTTTATACGATTACTTGCAGTTACAAATCAATCAAAGTATTATATTTTGCAATTCTACCCAAAGAGTAGAATTATTGGCTAAAAAGATCACAGAACTTGGATATTGTTGCTACTACATACATGCAAAAATGGCACAAGCCCATCGCAACAGGGTATTTCACGATTTCAGGAACGGGCTGTGCCGAAATTTAGTTTGTTCTGATCTATTCACAAGAGGTAAGAATTGTAGGATAGTGTTGTGTGTTATGAAACTCCAGAAATCTTTCAAAATTAGTTATCAAACTGTGTTAAACAAATTATATGTGCTCTGTTTCAAAATGATTTTGCATGTTTTAATTTCAGTTGTGGAAGTAATTTTTATATTATAGCAATTTAGTGTTTTATAATTATAAAACCTGAATAATTTTACATATGCACTATGTCTGATCAGTATTCGGGAATATTTGAAAGGTGACATCTGGATGCACTGTAGAGTACAGGTCTTTTAAAGTAATAGTACACACTGAGGTTGTTTCTGGAGATTTTTGGAAGGACATTTTAACATAATTTCTGTTTCTTCTTAATGATGACCATGTGTTTTGACCTAGATAGACTAGATCAAAGTCCGTCATAATTGCCGTATGAACTTGACAGATATTAGGGAAGGTTTCACTATTAAAAACCTGAATTTCTCACGGTGATCTTTTCGAAATGACCCTAAATGCCATATGTGGATGTATAACTATCTAATCAAACATGATTACCACTGTATAGTCATAAAGTCGGCATATTTTGAATTGTTTTTGTTAATTGCGAAATAAGGTACGGAAAACGTAATGAAATGGAATATTTACTTTTGTGGCGGCATTGGATAAGAATGGGGCATATACAGAGTAAATCGAGTGTCCATTACCGAAGGCATACGCAATTTTAGAATTAACAATTTTTTTGATAATAAGATAGTTGGCATGATCAATTTATAAAAAGCATTTAAATTTAGCGGATATACTGTGAAAGATAGTTTATCTTCTAAATTTGTAGGTATTTTACTTAATTTCTTTAAAAGAGTATGGTGCGCTATAGCTTTATGCGATAATGAACCGATTTGCATAAAATAAATTGATTCTAATATTTGTTCGAGTTCTTCATAGAGCAGTATAGCATATTTCAAAATTTGTTGTGAAACGATTAGCAATTGTTGATTGAACATGATGATTTAATTCGTCTGTCAGGGTATTCGTAAAATTTTGCAATTTGAATAAAATTAAATAGAAGTTTTGAAATTATGTAGGGCAGTTATTGACCTGTTTAAATTTGACATGACAACATTAGAAATATGAGCATTTTTTTCCATTAACCTAAGCTTTTCTTTATTTTTCGAATTTCTGTTATGATGTTCGAGTAATATTCGTCATTATTAGAGTCCATAACATCGAATACTGTGTGAAACGCTTTATCTGTTAAATTAAACCAACCTCTCTTCATACCGTACTCTCAATTTCACTTAATTGATCATTAGTCTAGTCGGTAGAGAATTTTCCCGACATAAATTTGTTAGTGAACGGGAGTTGTTCCTTGTGGACGGGAAAAAGTTAAGCATCCCTGTATATTTTTGAACTTCGAAAAAATGTGCGTTAACAAACAGGAGAGGTCCAAAGTTGGCAAAACCAGCTTTTTAGATCTAGAAGGCAAGGTATGCCTTTTAGAAAGAAAAGATTCAAATAAAACTTGCAGAGAAACTAAAAACCTTCAATTTGAGCGGCGGTACGATCAATTTTGTCAGTAAGTTATTATGCAAATCCCAAAAAATTGTAAAAAATTGCAGTTTCTTGTATATTGTTTGTTTATTGCAGAAATGACCTATTTAGTGATTTTATTACATTGAAATGAAGGTTTTTAAATTTGGAATCGAACTAGTTTTTGTGGGCATAAATTGGTTAATTTGTTAGTGAAATATTAATTGTTTATCCCAACAGATATGAATAGTTATTGCCGTAACTTTTTTTGAGCAAACATTTTCAGTTGCACGTAGGTTCAATCTCTTTGTGAAGGTGGAGTTCTTCATATCCCGTTAGGGGCAAATCAAAAAAACACTTTTTTATCCCCTTATTTATTGCTGTAAATAATGTTCTTTGTAAATAATTAGAGCTGTAGCGACCCCTACGTAAGGTACGAATTTTTAACTAAGGAATATGAAAGGGAAAGGAAAGGGACATTAAAAGAGCAAGACGAATCTCCTACGACCAATAGAAACCGAGTTAACATTATTTTTTAAATATCACAGATTAATTGTTTTTAACTATTAAAAAATTAATTTGGCGGCATTTGATAAACAAATTTTTACATTCTGCAGTTTTTAAAAAAGTAGTAATTTTTTTGTTATTGCTAAAAGACCTATCTAAAGTGATCAGTAATCTCGGACGACGCAACGTAGTTAGCAGTGTGAATAAAACATTGCAACCGTATCTCTTACAATTTTCATAGGATTGAGCTTTTTTTTTTAATCTGGGATAACACATAAAATTATGAACAGTGGTATAATTAACGAAAATGACGATATCTTAGGCAGGTCATAAAGATTGTTTCTAAAAAAGTACTAATTTTTTTGTTATTGCTGAAAGACCTATCTAAAGTGATCAGTAATTTCGGACGACGCAACGTAGGTAGCGGTGTAAATAAAACATTCCAGGTTGACGCGCCGCGTCAATCGGAAAATGCGTAGACAGCGTCGTTTCTTTGACAATTTTCATCGGATGGAGCTGTTTTTCTTTTTAATCTGGGATAACACAAAAAATTATGGACAGTGGTATAATTAACGAAAATGACGATATCTTAGGCAGGTCATAAAGCATGTTTTTATAAATATGTATATAATATTTAATTCATTGTTTTTTATGATTCGTTTGACGAACCGCTACTGATTTTTACACCCCTTCGCCTTGCGCTCTCCGTAACGTTCTAGCATGATTTGATTTATTACTCTGTTATTTCGTGAATTCATTATACTTAATAACTTGTATCGCTGAGTGTACCTCGACGATGCAACGGCGACGTGGCAACCGAGAGTAAGTGTATCAGGTTAGTTCCGGATGCTGTCTCTCTTCACGTTCTGCGCATCTGAAATAAAAGTTTTAATTTGACGAGCAGTAGGGGGTGTAAAAACATGCACAAAAAGTACCCAGGTTAACGAACCACCAATGATTGAGAATACTCGCCAGGTTGCCGGTCGTACCATCTTACAGCTCTCCTTTATCGCAAGCGTATTGCACAAATGATGATTAATAGTAGTTTGTACTCTGTAATAACCGTTTCATTGGATGTTACCACAAAATACAAAAATAAGTTTATTCTGAAAAGGAAAAAACAGAATTCGCACGGTCTGGCGAAATCATTTTGCTATTAATAGAAGACAATCCTATTTTGAGTATCTGACTTTATTGCACGGTAAACAGATTCCGCGTGATACGGTGTGGAGGATTTTAAGTCGCAAGGTTTCTTGTTTTATTAACACTATCAGGCACTGTACAAATGAGATACAGGATGTGAAAGTAATGTACAAGTATGCAAATTACGTTTTTTTTTTTTTAACCATCAAAAACACCATAAAATAAAAGTCTTTGATATACTAATGAAAAATGTTGTGTCCTCGTATCTCATTCGTGCAAAATACTAACATTAATATTAATTTTAAAGTAATCTACTAAAACAACAATAATAATAAGATTAAAATTACGTTATACAGTTACAAATTTATAAAGGTTAAAATGTAAACAAACCCCTGTGACTGACTGGTTTGTTTACATTTAGGCGTAATAGTTACTGAAAGCCTGTATGAGTGTGTAAGTAAACGTACACAATCTGTCAGACTATTGGCGCACCTTGATTTTCAAATACTATAGTCCAGGAAATATAGGCGAGTGAGTGGGAAAAATTATTCGGATTAAATTTTTTTACGTAATTTTGTTTGGAAGATTCTCCTGAATACAATGATGTGAATTGTCAGCCGGTAACCCGGTTGGGTATTGTTTAAATCACGATTTTTTAAACAAATGGCAAAAAACTTTATTTTGCCGGAACAATTTTTTTTATATTCTCTGACTTAATCTTAATAAAAAAGGTCTGATGCTTTAAAAAGTTATTAAAAAATATGTTTTTTATAAGCTTATATTTTATTTATATTTAAT